GGTGAAAGATGTACTGTACATCTATCATCTGTTTACCTAAAAACAGTGCATAAAATGCGATGAGAGGTTACGGTTTCAACGTTACTTCTATTATAATGATAGTTCACAGAATTGCCGTTTTTACCGTATTTTTGATCAAATAAATGCAGCTTGGTGAGAGTAAAGCCCTATTCGCACGGGATAAGTATTACGTGGGGACCACGTGTGATTTAGAAATTTCATGTGGCGCAGTGAAGCCAGTGATTTTACTCTAATTTACTTTACAAATCACAGACATGGCCGATTCGCACGGAATTAAGATTACAGTCAACCCTCTGCAATTATTACAAATGACTAGAGGTCACCAGGTAATACTTATCCCGTGAGAATAGGGCTTAAGAGACTTGCATCTTAACGACCCCAAACATTTGAATGGTAGTGTATAAAATACAAAATTCTGAAAATATAACCTGCCCACAGAAACTTTCAGAGCACTTTAAGAGTGCTACACACAGTAATCTGTATACATATACACACGTACCGTGAAACGGTAGATCAATATCTGCACCTAATGCTGTCAGTATCGCTGTAGGTCGTTCATATTGCATAAACAAAGTTTGTTTTACTCTGAACCAACAAAAAAAAAACAGCAGAGGTCCAGATGAACGTTGGTGTTGTTGAGTGACATGCTTTGACTGATGGTCACTTAATCCAACCAAGGGAAACTATTCGAATTTAAAAGTTGATTAGCAAACTTGTTATTGTAGTTGAAGACACCATAGCCTAAATGTATCTTTGTAATTATGTAATTATAATGTAATTATTATAATAACAATAATTATTCACTGAAATCCTCCATTGCACAGGTTAATATTCCATTTAAAGTGAAATCTGTGTGCGTCTGACTCTGATCTGACAAAATGACACAAAGCAAAGCAGCAATAAAAGTTGAGAGCCAGTTACATTCAGTTGAGATTAATCCCTGAAGAGACACACACAAACTTTTCTATTTCATTCTCCACACCAGCTTTGCTCAGCATGCCTGGCTGGGTGGCTGAATTATTCTGTGTGGTCTCCAGAGAATCACGGGACCAGGGACAGCGTGTGGACCAGTAGCCCACGTAATGTGCTCCTGCCGCAGACCAAGCCAGTGGTGAGGACCCCAGGGCAAAGGAGAACTGAGGTGGAAATGACTTTAAATGTTTTGGACATTTTAAAGTGGCCACAAAAGGAAGCAGATCATCAGAAAAAGAGAGAAAGACAGAAAGAACTGGTCTGGAATTTGGCAAATTCTCTTACTCTAAACACAAAAACAGCTAAATTGCATATTTATTTTAGAGTGGCAGACCCCCAAAGACTTGGACTTGAAGATCAAGCTTTAGAACTACAGACAAGGGCACTGTTTGAACAACAGGAAGTGAACCATTCTTCTTCGACAAATGTGTTTATTCTGTTTTATCTTAGAATCTTTACATTTTTCATCTTTCCTCTTAATCCCTTACTATATCTAATCCATTTCAAGAATCCAGGACTTGGGAACTTTTTGTGAACCTATTTTCAGACAATCACACGCTGCCCTCTAGTGGCTGGAGGAGGAAATGAGCAAGAAATAGTTCACCAAAAATGTTGAATACTGTGAAAATACTGACATTATTAACTCATTTTTTCCATGGAACGAACAAAGAGACTGAGGAATTTTCAAGTAAAAGATGACAGAACTTTGGGTGAATCATTATTTGTACAGCTCTGATTTTCCATTTTTCCATTGTGCAAATTACAGGAAAACATCACGGATAAGTCCAGGATGTGACTGTGTTCTCACTAGTCTGAACTTTTGAGAAGGAACATGACTCCAGTGGAAACAAATGCAGTTCCACAAATGCAGACGCAATGCAGAAACAAACTACACACACAACACTGTGGCTTTAAGCCCAGAGTGAACCAGAACACAAGACTCTGATATGAATAAAGACTGAAAATGGCTAGAAATGCTGCCACTGTTTTCTCTCTCAGACACACACACACAGAGAGAGAGAAATGTGGTGCCAAATAGAGCAGCTCAAGGAGCTTTGATGTTGGCCCCTCTTGGAATGCTCTCTTTTCTTTTCCCGCCTTTATACTCCTCTCTTCCTATCCCTCTCTCATTCTTTCTTCTGTTTTCCTCCCAGTTTCTCACAGCAGGCAGGAGCGCAGGGTAGAATGAACCAGTGTGCAGAATTAAAAAAAAGTTCCAAAACAGGTTTTTGGATTGTCAATTATAACCATTCACAACTCCTTTATTTAAAGTAATATATACATACAGACACGCATTCACAATTTTGTTCATATTTTGATAAAAATAAATATGGTATTTTATGCCGATACATCTTTTATACGTTTGAAAAAAGAAATTCAAATTTCAAAATGTTTGAAATGTGGTTAAGTAACTAACTTCAAGTTAGTGTTGAGGTGTGTGATTGTGTGAGGAAAGAGAGAGTTTGTGGTCAGTGTATTTGTTTGTTTTTGGAAGGAGGAATTTGAGGGATTTTGTGGGAACCTGGTGTGTGTGGATCTCTTCTAGTCTCTCATTACTGGTGTCAGATGACAGGCATGTCTTTGATCAATCCGCTATTAGTGAGGTGTGTATGGACAGGAGGAATTCAGATCTCATGCTTTGTGTTCCCACCCTTCTCTCCCACCACTCTAACCCAAATACCCAGAAATATCATCCATTCATTTCACATTGCACACAGAGAACTGCACAAGTGTTTATGCTAATTAAGAGACATTAATGAGAGCTTGCCAGCGCTGGAGACACTTACATTGGACCGGTGAAGTGACTTTATTATTATTGTGTGTCGATGTTTGCGTATGTGTCTGCTGAGCAGACAGATGGATTGAGAGCCCTGTCTGGACTAGTGCCCATGTTTGTGAATCTAAACAGCCTCTCTCTGTAGAGACACACACAGATGCCATGTTCAGAATGGAAAACTAGTGTAATATAAACTCTACAGACTGCAAACAAATCAGTCTGCTCCAAACCGTAGTATGCTACATTGCAGGTACTGTTCAAAGTTTGGGGTTGGTAAATGTTTTTGAAAAAACATTTGGCAACACTTTACTTGAAGGTGTGTGCATAAAACAGACATGACACGTCATGAATATGAAGGAGGTTTTATGCATGTTTACGACAACTCTCATTAAGTGTCATTCGCTCAATTATGACATTTTTAATGCAAATATTTTTTGACAGTTGTCATAAACATGTATAAATGTCATACTTCATACTGATGAATTGTGTCCTGTCATGATTATGAAGGTGTCATGTCACTCTTATGCACACCGCTTTAAGTAACACGTTTTAAAGAAGTCTCTTATGCTCACCAAGATTGCATTTATTTGATAAAAAAAACATGACAATTTAATATAACGGTTTTCTATTTTAAAAACGTAATGTATTCCTGTGATACAAAACTGATTTTCAGCATCACATGATCCTTCAGAAATCATTCTTATATGCTGATTTGCTGCTCAAGAAATATTTCTTTTTATTATAAAAATTAAAAACATCTATAAAACTTTATATTAATTAATTTGAAAAATCCAAATGTTTGAATAGTGTCCCGAACATCCGAGTATCAATTGTGTAATTGAAATAACTGTGTAATGAAACTGCAGGAGAGAAGTGAAGATAGATGATAGAACGGCAACACCATACAAAGATAACATTACTAATTGACGTTTTGCACAGCACGTCACAGAATCTCTGCCTCTCTCGGTCTCGAATTATTGACACTCATCACCCACACTGCTGAGGCCCAGACACAAACCCCACAGTCTGAGACACACAAAAGTGGACAGTATCATCACACACAAAACACGCTTTTACTACAGCTTCTATCCAGCAGCAGTGAGACTAATGGCTAACTCATAGAAATAGGATATATATATAGTATAAACGGCTTGCAAGCACTGGTGCACTTTGTATTTTTATTTTATTTTTTATTCTAAGGGTGATGTAGTACAATTCCTATGTACTGTATATGTACAACTAGGGTTGGGTATCGAGAATCGAGTATCGATTGGAACCGAGACTAACTTTTCTTTTTTCCCGGAATCGTTCAAAAGTTAAAATTTCGATTCCTAGTTTCGATATTCACAGTCCGCCGAGCGGAAGAAACCGCTGAACAACACCAACGAAGAAGCGTCTACCGGAAGTGTTGGCATAACCACGCGAGTCGAACATGAGTACCTTACGTCGGCAATCCAAAGTGTGGCTTCACTTTTCTAAAAATAACGAAATCTCGGCAAAATGCAAAATTTGTGACAAAAGGAGTATTTTTACAGAAGGAGTATTTCCTTCAGAAAGGCCATTGGTTAGCAAGGTTAGCTAAACTTTTTTGACCCTGCCTCTTAAAAGAATCGGAATCGAGAATCGTTAGGAACCGGAATCGAAACAAGGAATCGGAATCAGAATCGTTCAAATTCAAACGATACCCAACCCTATGTACAACCTCGTTGTGCTCTACAAATGGCAAATAAAACTTTGATTTATTTGATTTATTTTGATTTTTGATCTTAAAAGCATTCGAGACACAAACCTGTGTCAAGAAAAATGCTTCCAACAATCAAGGCAAAAGACACTTGACAGAATAAAGTAATTGTATTTGTATTAAAATGTGTGCTCAAATAAAAGCAACATCTAGTGATAAAACAGCCTTTAATCCCAGACACAAGACAAATTAATCCAAATAGTGAGCATCACACAGAAAACAGAAGATGCTCAACAAGCTTTGACTTAGACAAGACGATGACGAGACGACAATAAGTACCACTTGTCAATTATCTGCTCAATTTCAAACCAGATGAACACTTACAACAACTAGTGTACAATCGCGAGGAATGACAAACATCTGACTTAAATCAGACATTTTTTATCCTGAAACTGTAACAGTAGTGTGATGACTACATTTGACCATTAGATGTCAGGCTGCACATGGCAGAACTTACAAGAACCACAAGAGTGTAAAAAAAGCACTCACATTTTCTATGACAAATGTCCACTCTTTGTCTTCAAACTCTTCTGCGTGGGGATCCTAAAAAAAAAAAAATGCAGGGGTTAATTTGATGGCATTGAAAAAAATGGAAGTGGAAGCTCATTAAAGACATTCTCAGTATAATTTCTCTGGCAGCAGAGATATTTGGAAACATCAACTCCACAAATCATATCCATCTCTACAGAACAAAAGATTTGCATTTCCTTTCTTGTTATGTAAAACATATGAGGGATGCAGAGGCACTTTCATAAATGACTTTTCCAAAGCTTTATCTGGTTGCATCAATAATATAATGACCAAAACAGTCATTTTTTGTCAAAGAGGATATGATGCCCAACGGTCTGTCTGTCTATCAATAGCATACAATAATATCACATCACAGTGATACACTTTTCTCATATTCACCTGTCTTGAGCCTATATCAAATTTGAACCAAGATTATTGGTCAGCTGAACATGTATGAAGGTACATATGCATACAGCTTCACCTGAGCTGCTCTTCTTTTGTTCTAGAACTGTCCCGGTCAGCTGACCGCATGATTGGCGGTGCAGAAATGAAACATTCATGAACTCACAAAAGCCAAACTGGTCCACTTCAATGAACTCTGGGAGATGTAGTTGAACATGACACTGAGTCGTTTTGCAGAGAACAAGGCTGATAAGGAAAATGTTTGGACAAGCACTTTGTGTGTGTGACAAATATTGGAGGATATACAACACTAGGTCAGCGCTAGCTTGTAATGTGTGTGTGTGTGTGTGTGTGTGTATAGTGGGGACAGAATCTTAGTGAATAATAATTTAATTTCACTCATATTTTAAGAATATTTAAGACAATATATATTTACACAAAAATTATCATACATAAAATAAATTGTTATATATACAAATTTTGTGTGCATACATATTAAGTATAGCAATATTTGAAAGATTACATCCTATACATATTTATGCATGAAGAATACATGATATTATATATAAAAATACAATTATTTAAAACTAATTTTGCCATTCGGAAACTGACCAGCTGAAAATGTATGAACTGAAATGTCATCGGAGTCAAGAGTACTGTCATCTAAAATCCTCTGCCGTCAACATGAGAAACCTCAGATCTACAAACTGCTCTTTCTCTATATGCAATGCACAAACAGATGCTTTTCCTGTGTAGCTGCACCTGGGGTTGACAATTCAGGATGTAAGGTCTCACTTCTCTCGTGCCAGATGAAAAAATCTGCTGACCGGCATTTCAAAAAGACTAAAATACAGAGCACACGCTTCCTGCTGCCGTGTCAGTTTCTGCTGCACACACATATGAGAAGGGAGTTAAAATCTTGGACTATGGCAGTTAAATCAGTGCGGAATCAGGATGTCTAGACACCAGCAGACTTGCAGATCCCAACCAATCAGCTTCTGGGAAAAAGCCAACCGCTACAACTGGCCCTAATAACGTCTAGGCCTACTTGGCAAATAAATGAGAAAGCATTTGTGTGTGTGTGTGTGTGTGTGTGTGTGTGTGTGTGTGTACCTTAAACAGGGTGACAGTGATCTCTATGTTCTCTGGAACCGGCCACACCACCACTCCTCTATAGGGATTCTTGATGCCAGGCTGCCAGCTATGAGACTGCGAACAAAATAACAAAATATACAGTTTTTATACAATAATTTTATTCGATAATCTAGCTAGTCATTGCTACGTAAACACTGCAAAAAATTATTTTCCTACTCAGTATTTTTGTCGTTTTCCAGCTTGAAAAAAAAAAACACATTTTCTTACCCAACAGGTTTAGATTTTTGTAAAACAAAACAAAAAAACCTAGTAAGGAAATAATTTTTTGCAGTGAAGATGGAGAGATGCATACATAAGTTGTTACAAAAAACTTAAGTGGCTCATTAAGGTGATGCACGTTATTTTGGAGCCATTAACGGGACCAAGCATAATTGTGACGTCCCAAGCTCACATTAGCTTAATTTATTATGTACATTTATACATACGTACATTGACATTATAGGTTTAGTCAGAGTCTGACTAATCTTACTCTACTAGTCTGGTTTTGTTTAGTCGAATTTAAAGATCTAGGAAATATGATTGTAGCTCAACATTGTCTAGCATGTATACATACTAATTAGGCAACAAATGTCTTCAAGAGATGATCTGCATTTAAAGGGATACTTCACCTCTGGAAAGATGAATGTGTATTTAAAATGGGTCATTTATGTAGAAGAAATGTGAAATTATGTTTGAATTTGGAGCTTTCTAGACTGAGAAAAGCAAGAAAATGTATGTTTGGCTTATGTGGATGAAACACAACAACTCCCAGAATGCACTTGCTTCGCTGCCCTAGGAGGCCACGCTTACCGACAACAGTGCAGTAGTTAAACAACAAGTCTAGGCTACTAGTGAGACTTTGTGCTGAGTCTGCCCGAAAATGTGTTTCGAGATCGCCCAAAATGTCCGGGATTCTGTTTTGCATTGTACAGTCACCATGCATCATGTTTACTGTGGCGAACAGGACGAGTGAGGGCCGCGGTAGAACGGCGTGAGGCTGGTGGCGTGATTACTGATGAGCAACACCTGTGAGATGCACCGGTCTTGTATCTCTCACGGAGGAGCGGGAATTTTCTTACCAATGTTAAAACGCACATCAACCGATCACTTGTTTAGCGTTCATGTAAACACTACATTCAGATTCACCAATCAGAATGAATTCAGAATGCAGTCGAATGCATGTAAACAATGAATGGCGACTGCAGAAAGCAAAAGCTGAATCCCAGACAGAGACGGCCAAAAATGTCCGGGAAAAAGAGGATGGTGACCCCTACTACTCAGCTTTATCCACAGAACAAAAGCCTGCTAGCTTAGCTTCCAAAAAAAAGATGGCTGACACTATGTGTAGATTCTGTGAGTGAAATCCCACCCTCTATGGGCGGGTTGAGAACATGAGGGAGAGACCCTACTACTGGCTGTAGTCTTTAGCCTCTGGCCAAAATATCCTCCGATGACGCAAAATTACGATTTTTGCATCATCTGAGGATTTTTTCCAGACAATAAATACATTAATCTCTCATCTCAGGGGGATATGAGGGTGGAAAGCACAGTAATTCGAAAATGCTACAGCTTTCCTACTAATACAAACCTTAATGCTAAATCCTGAAGTATCCCTTTAATACTTCAAATTTGATGCATTGTGATCATGTATATATTTGTACTGAAAAACGTAACAGAAAAAAGACTGAAACTTAAAGCAAAAACCTGCAATTTACTACACATAAATATTCTTACGTGATTGACAATATGAAACAGCATTTTTTTTTTTAAATGACTCACCTTAGATGATTTCCTTCTGCTCCTCCGAGTCCAGACAACAACTAGCTTATCTGGTTGCCTAAAAAAAAAGCACAAAAGAAAAAAAAAAGATTAAAAAAACCACTGCTAAAAAGCTATTAAACAAACACAGTAACTAACTGAAACCAGGACTTCCGATTTCAGCTCTACTGTGCACAAACTAAAACAAGATAAGATGAGAAATAAAATAGATCTTCCTCTTTTATTTCTCATATTATCTTGTTCTTAGTTTGAGAAAGAGTTCAAAGTTGAAATGATGCTGTAAATAAAGTCATACCCATATCACACACAGCCTTACCAAGCAGTACACAAACTCACTGCTTTTTTGATGCAAATGTGTGTGCACAAGATGAATGTGTTAACGGACTTTAGGACCCCATTTACACCTGGTATTAAAATGCGATCTGTATCCAGATAAGTTATCCGGATAATAAGTACTGATTCCATTTACACCTGGCCACATAAATGTGTTTTTGCAAAACGGATATAAATCCGATCTTAAACTCCCGCGTTATATGCAGATTTAATGGATTGCACGCCACCAAAAGCAACAGATATGAGCTGCATTTAGTTGATCATCAGCTAATTTCCAAATCAAAGACATCAATAAGAGAGTGGCAACAGCGCTGGTAAGATAATTTCGTTTCTTTACTTGAAGATGAAGCGTCTGTGACTTACTTTCACTTTTATTTGCGATGTTTGCACGTTGGCTCGATGAATAGACACTCAGCTGCTCATCTGCGGTGATGCGTGTCACAGTAGCGCCGTCATATCTGACTAGAACATGACATATTGCCTATATAACAAGCTCTCACTCGTTTATTTTTTTGCATTTTTGGGAGGAGTAAAATATACATATGTGGTTTCAACAACCAGATTGCGTTTACACCTAGTAAAGATCCGGACACAATGCGAGCCAGACTACCTCCAGATGTGGTCAGGCAGATCCGATCACGATCCGATCACAACGCATTTACACCTTGCATTAACATGCGTTTTTTATTATCCGGATAACTTATCTGGATACAGATCGCATTTTAATACCAGGTGTAAATGGGGTCTAGGTGGCAAGACCTCTACTACAGAGAATGTTATGCTAAATTCATCCCTCACACTAAAGTACAAATACACCTTACAGTACAACATTCACAATGCACAAAGTGAATGACGACACTCACAAACAGACCAACAGGTTTAAAGATAAACGGACTGTTAGACCTGAAGGGCAAAAAGGTTTTGGTACATCTAAGCAGAACTGAGAGAGAGAACAATCACACACACAGGATTCAGGACTCATGAGCTTGAATTGGATTACCAGCAGTAAGAGGCTTGACCGCAATCTGACAGGTGTGTGTTTATGCATGTGTCCTCTGTGTGTCTCTCATTTTAAGAAACATCACTGTCCTCATCTAAACTGTTACAAACATGGAGCAGACAGGATCTATGGCTGCGTTCACACTGCAGGGGCTTAATGTTCAATTCCGAGTTTATGAAAAAAATGGATTTTTCTGCAAGGCCATTCACATTTTCAATTAAATGCGACCTTTTGTGATCTCCTGAGTGAACGTGAAATGATCCAGAAGTGACCCCGCATGCGGAGAAGAGTAATCAACGGTCAACGATGTCACTTCTTGTTTGCGGAAGTAGCTAAACATGGATGTCAACAGTGGAGCTCGTTTAGCAATATTAAAGTTATTTTTCCCAAGAGAACAGCACAATTTCAATCTTCTCATTCGCGCCTACTTCAACGCAGCAGAATTATGACATTTGTCGCATATCAATGACGTGCGGGTGGGATACATGTGACCTGGCTGTTCAGATTGAAGTCGCATTTCAAAATACTGGATACATAACGGATTTGGACCACATACCCAAGTGGCCTTGGTCGTTCAGACTGTCATGAAGAGATCAGATACAGGTCGCATATGGGCAAAAAAATCAGAATTGGGTTGTTTCAGCCTGCAGTGTGAATGTAGCCTTTATCCCATCTAAAGTAACCCCTGATGCATATCTGGATTATTCTAGATATTTCCGAGGAAGAGAGAAACAGCAGCGCTCTCCAAAAAGGATTTTCTGTGGAGATTGAGAATCACAACTGAAAGCATTTCAACCAATGACTAGACTTAAACTGTGACCAGGAAACCAACAAGAGAGCATCACAGAGAAACCATGCACAGACACTCCTTTGTCTCTCTACATTTCTAGAACAACACACACGCTCCCATGCTGTGTGTGACATGGAGCATTGAAGACAATCTGCTTTCGGTCATCTCTCACTCTGAAATAGCAAAACTCATTCCCTTTAACCTCTTTTCTTTTTTCTGTCTATTTCCATCGCTACTTTCAGTACTTGAGTGCTTCCTCTAGGCTAGTTGACATGCTCCACTGCAGGCCTTGATGCACATGATCTTATCAGAAAGTTTTTCATAATGGAATGATGTTTCTTTTTAATGGATGGTTGGGTCACAATGATTTTTTTTTTCCTGATTTAAAACTTTTATTCAACAAGGATACATAAATTGAGCACAAGTCATTTATAATGTTACAAAAAACTAATTCAACATTTAATACTTTTCACAATAATTTTTGAAAATCTAATTTTCATCACTTTTGGATGTTTCCATGTCTTTTCTTATAGTCATAATGTTTTCTTTCCCACAATGTTTATATGTGAATAAAAGCCTAAATTCAATCTGTTCATCATTTAAAGCGATTGTGTCTCTTCAGAAAAGTTTGACTAAACAGGTTAATTCATATGGATTAGTTTTACAATCTCTTTATGAACTTTTTTGTCTTGAAATGACATGAGGGTGAGTAGTTAATGACAGAATTTTCATTTTTTGGTGAACTATCCCTTTAATTAACCTGTAGCCTTAGATAGCACACCCAATCCGTTGACTGGCCATCTATTACATATTGGTCACCAAAACAGCAAAGTCTGAATGAAAAATCACAGGTCCAATTTGGCTGGCTTTACGTCAAAGGTTAGAACCAGAGGCCAGTCCGGTGTGTTTCCAGACAATTTCTCCAATGCACTATCACTGAAACCTATCTGAAATTTAAACACATGCAACACATGTTCACCAGGACTTCATCACAGTTTTACTATTGTTTAAATGCGTTTCCTTCTAAAATCCCACCAGCAACCTACCTTCAAAAAACAGAAAGAACCACACATGTAACTCATTTCGTGGTTCATTTCTTACATTTCATTTCTGCACTCTGTGCTCCCTAAGGCACAGTTTATTTCTCAGACCCATTATGTCGGACAGTTGTTTTAGCTCTGATTTGTGGCTTCAGGTCATGCATCTCTAGATACACTAAGATTTACATTACCTGCCAAATCCATTCTTTTGACTGTGCTTTCAAGGTCCATCTTAACTACTATCCTCTACAAAAACTCTCAGTTTCCATCTCTAGCATGCTATGCAGATCTTACACCTGGCCGGTGTCTGCTGATAGAAACCCGTCAACATCTGAAGTGAGAGGACTAAAGCCAAAACTGTCAAACCAGGAGTTTAAAATTGATAGCCTGGAGGTCTATAAATGTTCGCGCCTTTTATTACTATAAGAACTCTATAAGACTTCCACACATAGCATGTTATGTACTTGTAAGAAATACTCTTGAGTCAAAAGTGAAGCACTGTATATACAAGGCTACAACACCATGGCTTCATGGTTGTAATTTAATGCTTTTTGCTTTGTTGCCTTAAAACTAGCTATATTCTGTGAAAAAAAAAAAATTTGTCATGCCTTATAATAACTTGACTGTAACTCTACACCCTTGCTTCATTTAGTGCGGTTACATGAATATGCAAATGAGTCCCGTCTGGATAACCTGGCTTCTCTTGAGACCCTCTGCTTTGCAGAATAGTTAATGATATGCTAAAGCCCGCCCCCTCCTTGAGACAGAATTGGTTACGATGGCATTTGTGACGTAGAGAAAACCGTGTTTTTGAAACCGTCTTTGGTTCAGTGCAGTTTTATGGAGAAAATCTCAGCAATAGTGTTGACAAAAGTATTTGCGCATGGTTTGTGTTAAAGCATATTAAAAACACATATAAACAACATTAAAATGTTGATTTTCACCACAGGGGGTCTTTAAGACTTAAATAAATAATGTTACTTAATAATGTTAATACTTTGTTTTTAAGGAAAATTCAGAATCAGACTTTAGGAAACACTGAACTTATTATTATTATTATTAAATAAAATAAGCTAAATTCTAAAGATCTAAACAATCTGGAAACTGCTTTTCTGTAGGATTATAATAGAGCTGAAAGTAATCGGTCTAGCAGTTGTAGATCTAAAAGTAGATCTACAACACCCATTAATAAACTATAAAGACCCCCATAAAAACAGCGGAAAATGCTGTTAGTGTAAGAAAGTTTTATAACCATCTCGAGCCTTTACAAAGTATTATTTCTATAGCAGAAAGAGACAGACAAAAGACAAGTGAAATTTCTTTAAATACAACATTGCAAGAAAACCTCTGTAAGGCAAACTACCTTAAGACACACTTTATACTTGAGATTACAGCAAAACAAAAGCTGTAGATTTGAGGAGGGCTGACATTAATAAATAAACAGAAAAGGAGTAACAAAGTGGGTCATTGCGCAGCAGGAGATGTTATCAGCAGGAAGTGGAGGCGGATAGAGCGGGTATAAAGACAGAGAGACTGGCAAACCCAGGAGGAAAAACCTTCACTGGGCACTAGAAGCTCAGCAGCCCAAACACGAACTCTATAAAGCTGCTATTACACACCATCTCACACAAAGACAACGAGAAAGAGTGTGACGTGCGTTTAGTTTATATGGCATTAAAATCCATCTCAGGTGATCAGGTGATATTGCTGTTTACAACTGGTAACATGGCACACTTCGATGGCTTTTTCCTTTTTGTCCGACCCGCAAACATATATTTAGTTATCAAGATCTGTTAGCCAGTACATAGTATATTTATACCATGTACACACCAGATCTTTATAACTATAAACTTGTATCCAAGTATTTCTGTGATAATATGCATTATTGTAAGACC